TGACATGACTGTTACTTAAAGCCACCTCTGTGTACTTGTTTTTTGAACACTGCTTATAATGTCAGCTGTATATATATATATATATATATATATATATATATACACACACATAAATACATTCACTATACATGAAGAAAATCCATCACTTCACTTGTTTCTGAATTTGATTATGATTTTTGGCATACTTTCCTGACCAGTCAAAGAGCAATTCTTGCTTATTACTGAATAACAAGTATTTTAGAACTGCAAGGTATTAATAAGATTATTTCAGTATGATTTCACCCAGTAGTTTTGCTATCAGGATTGTAACTTTTGTTTGAGCTACACTGCATCTTCTATAAAGAAATCTAGTTCTGATTTGAAGAGWGGAAGTGATGAGAATCCAGACTGTTTTCTGGTAAATTGTTCCTACATTTAACTATCCCCAGGATAAAAATGTKATCCTTGTTCCTTGTACAAATTGGATTTCATTATGACTTTTTTTTTGGCATTAGAATGATGAGCTGTCAACTCTTAGAAATCATTTCCCAGTACAGGTATTTCTAGATTGAGTACCAGTAGAAAATAGAGTTAAATATGATCTGTGGTTTCAAGGCAATTAAAACTTATTGAATTAAATAGAGGAGTGGGATTCTTATCCTGTAATTATGAAACATTGAAATGTCTTATAAAAAAGCTGAATAACGTCTCTATGGATAGACACCATAGTTTCTATCCTTGACTCACTTAATGTTATGAATTACTAATGTAATTTTAAAATAGAACTACCTCAAACTTAAGTGTGTAGTGCTTAAAAACCCCAAAAGCAGTTGGGGACGAAACCCACACTATTCTAGACCGACTGGGAAGCACTTTCTTACTGCAGAGATGGGTCATATGGGAGAAGTAACTGGATGATTTCTAAYCCTACATGCAAATTAGTACGAAACTACTCCATTAAAGCTTCTTTTGCTTTTTTCCCTGCTCTCTGCCAGAAGCTACAGCTTGGCTGGTTCCAGATAGAGTGACCTTGACCTGTTTTTTATTAAAGTGTAAAATAATAATTCCTTGGCTAAACTGCAAAAGGGTCCTGGCATTAATGCTACCTAAGATGAAACCATTTACTTCTAAATTCTGTTGACCAAAACCAATACTGCTCTGGTCTTGTTCAGTTTGTCTTACTCATTCTTAGGGCTAAGATAACCCTTCCTATTCCCATGTTTAATGTATACAGGACTGAKAATAAAACCAGTTAGGCCAAATGCTACAACTGTCCTTTTCACGTATCCAAGAAAGAGATGACTGTCCCTAACCAGCAGAACAACCCATTTGTCAGAGGGAGGTGGGATGGGAGAAAACAGCTCCAAAGTGCCAGTACAGAAAAAATAAGGACAAAGCAGATAATAATTATGGTAGAAGAAAGACAGAAGACAGCAAACAAGCACGAAAACAGCAGTAGTGCCAAGACCTAGGATTAGTGGGACAAGAGTGCTTACTAGCAGCTCATATAAGAGAGGGTGAATCAGCTAATCGACTGTTGGGGTGGAAACATGCAAAAAAATTCCTTCCATGAACCACAGAGCAGGGATGAAAACTTACAGCAACCATATTGCATGTCAGAYAGAAGTGATAAGAAAACAACTATGCTTGAAGAAATGCATCAGAAATCGCCYGGATGCCCCATCATCTACAGAAATGCAATTTAAATAAAGTAACACCTGCTGAGAAATGTAACAAGTTTAAGGTTCAGCTGCAAGCTGTGTAAAAATTTTGAGAGATTTTGGAGTAGAATAGTGGACTTGAAGACATATGTTTATGTCCAAATACAATATTGCAGTTTGCTCCCAATTAGATCCATGTCTATCAGAGGCAACAACATGGACWTCAAAGGAGTTACATCTGATTAATGCTGGCATAAACATGGCATAATCTGGTCCGTGTCAGTAGGGTGCAATCATCATCAGATCCTCATTAATTGCTTTGCATGATTATTCACAAATAACAGTAATCCCTGCCAGAGTTTTTTAATGGTTGTCAACAAYATTCAGGATGTGCAAAATGACTAATACACACAGATGGGGAATGCAGCTGATTTCAGCTCAATGTCTGCTGTAGATATTTAACAGAAGTGGTCCTAAGTGACTGAACAATTTCCAAAAGAGAAAGATGTCTTCAAAGWGTAATTGAAGTTGCTGGAATATCATAACATATACCAGCAACAACATGGATATAATTATTATTCCATCAGAGCTGGAASGACATGAAGGCTGGGGCTCAACTCYACTAAAATATTGGTCAGCTAAAGTACATTTGGCTAAAACCCTTTGACTGATCACTTTTCTTAATTGTACAGTGCAGAATTCCAAGGCCATGTRGACAAGCCATCGTTTGTACTCAAAAGGTAGTAATAATTTAGGTGTTAGCATATATCCAGATACTTTTTTCTCTTTCACCTAAGTCAGACTAGCAGGTGAACATATATTACTGAAGATATTTCTTCTTTCCACCTTTCCATCMTAAGTGCTTTAACTTACTCTGTAAGATACTTGGCCACATGACCATTCTTCTCCTTTTTAAGTTCCATGTATCACCAGGTGTAGGAGACAAGAGCCAATGAACTAAGGAAGGAGTATCCTTTATCAGCCTATGCTGAAAATAGAACAGTCTCCTACAAGGTCATCACCACATTTTATAAATAACACAGCATAGCATATACATAAACAGAATATATCTTACAGTTTATAGTATGAATTTAGCAATTCACAGATCCAGTAWTTGACATATTAGTAATAGATAACAGACTCACATGTAAAGTAATTCCCTTCTATRCAATTGCTCCCCATTTTCAAATTTTGCAGATCTTGCCACAATGATGTGAAATAGAGCTAATTTTCTCCAACTCAGATACATTGCTTTCTGAAAGAAACACAATTATTTGAATAGTAAACTTGGATATTTGCAGTATCTTCCACTTAYATGTATTAGCAATACATATAAATATCACTTGATTGTTATGGTGTTTTCCAAGTACTAAACTTTTTCAAACAACTGTGCGTTGCTTTCAAGTGAAGTTAGAAGCAACCTTAAATTTGACCTTTATAGTCCTCTTTAATTACAAAGATGGCTTTTCTATTGTTGATTAAAATTCTCATCCCCTTTAGAAACTTAAATAGTGCTTCACTTCCATGRGATATACTGGGATATGTTCAAACTTGTTTGATCTCATGGTCAATCACTCAAAATTTGAGCGCTTTCTCAGCAGTCCATAAGGGTAAGGGGGATGTTAAAGAGCAAGTGAATGATCTCCTCACCAGCAGGATTAAGCCTTTTATTTTGCATAAATCTTAATGATCAAGAAATTCTAAATCAACATTAAAAATATTTTTTTTTCACAAAATACAAAATGAAATAATGATCTTCACTGAAATAGAACTGTGGTCATTATCATTACAGGATTATTAAGTAATGGTTTGGAAAAACTATTTTAAAAAATCTAATAATAATAGCTACACATATTTTATGTTAGACATGAAATCTCATATTCCAGTATTTAAACTAGGCCCTSCTCATACAGGGTTACCTGTAAGCCCTCTCATTTGAAAGAGGTGATGCCATATATACATAATTCTAACTTCTAGTCCTTTTCTTTGAGGCACAGTTGTGAGCTGAATTATTGGAGCAAAGTAAAAATGCTAACCCATATGGATAATATCCAAACAGACAGGGAAGAACTCAAAGCTTGTCATATGTGCTGGAGGCAACATGAACAGAGTTGGTGAAGAGGGATGCACTCAGACAAAAGGGAAGGGATTGATGTGGAGGCAACTAAAAGGCAACAATGGGTATACAGAGGAAGAAATGGAGGCTGCAGAAGTAGACCAAGAAGATTCACGTGGATGATGGAGGGATGTGAAGTGGTCACTTTGGTAAGGAGAACATTAGAAAGTATGTTTTTATAAAACCTGACAATGAAAATATGTGCATATGAAAAATGGTAATTTCAATAAAATAATGTAATGAAGCAACAGTGTTGGAAGAAAAGACCTTGGACAAAATTTATTAAAAATAAGACCGACTGAGAGCCAGRTTGGATGGGAAGTTGAGAGGGGTTTTGAGAGATAGAGCGGAATAAGTAATATCTGCAGGTTTATGAGTTCTTTTGGGGGCATCTGCTGGGGTAGAATTTGAGGATTTCAGGTATTTGTGAAGGGAGCCTAGAAGAGAGATGAAGAGGTTTATAGTGACAGGACAAGGGGGAATTGGATTMAAACTCGAAGAGASTAGGTTTAGATTGGGTATTAGGAAAACGGTCTTTACTGCRAGAATGGCAAGGCACTGGAACAGGTTGCCCAGAGAAGCTGTGGATGCCCCATCCCTGGAAGTGTTCAAAGCCAAGTTGGATGGGGCTCTGAGCAACCAGGTCTAGTGAAAGGTGTCCCTGCCCATGGCAGCTGGGTTGGAACTACATGACCTCCAAGGTCCCTTCCAACCCAGTCAACAATATGTAGACTCTGGGATGGCCACAGGACACCCCTGCAGTGGAAGCAAAAAGAAGAGCTTAAGCGGGAATTTGAGGCCTTCGGTTTCAGCTGCGACTGACAGCACCAGGGAGGCGGCGACGCCCCCTGTGGCCGTGCCTATGACTGCGGCCACGCCTGAGCCTGTGCCTCTGGTTTGTGGCCGTGTCCATCACTACATCTGTAGCTGTGCCTGCCTCTAGGACTGTCCCCGCGGCTGTCCCCGCGGCTGTCCCTGTCCCTGTCCCCGTCCCTGTCCCGGTGTGTGTGACCGCAGGGACTCCCCCGCCCTGAGGGCAGCGCCCCCTCRCGGCTGTCGCGCGCACACCCCTGCCCCTCAGGCCGCGCCTCCCGCGCGCGCGCAGCACCGCTCCCTCCGCGCCCTCTCTCCCGCTCCCCCACCCACCGCGGAGCCGCCTCTGATTGGTCCGTACCCCGCGGGCGCTGGCCAATCGGAGGCCGCCCCGGGACCCCGCCTCTTTAGAAGCTGGCGGCGCGGCGCGGCCCGGGATAGCGGCGATGGCGGCGGCGGGGCGGGCGCTGTGCCGGGCGCTGCCCGCCGCCCTCTGGGGCCGCGTGTCCCCGCTGCCGGGCGCGCCCCGCCGGGCCGCCGCGCACTTCGCTTTCCAGCCGGACCCGCCGCCCAGCGAGTACGGTGAGAGCGGGGCTGGGCCGGGGTCCACCCCGCGGGCCGGCCTCACCCTCGCTCAGCCGCCGGSTCCGGCCTGTCGCCCCCGCCTTCTTGGGGGAGGCCGCCAACAACCCCGGTCGGGGTGGGAGGGAGGGACGCAGTCAAGCAGAAGCTGCCGGGGGCCTGGGGGCGCTGTGAGTCGGGCCCCGGCTGGCGAAGGCGTCAGCACGGCCGCATGACCCCTCTGTGTCCTCGGCACTTCGACCCGTGGGAAATCCCGGGCTGTGGGCGGGAGGGTCCCTGTGGGCCGCTGGTGGGGCCGGAGGTGCCGCACGCCCCCTCCACTGGARGGGGCGGTGATGTGTTTTGGGCAATCAGAGCCAGAACTGCGGTAGATGGGCCCTTGGTGTGCTCAGACCTGCAAAGCCATCCTCGGCCACTCTCCTGTACCAAATGCTTCTAGCAGTAACCTACTGACTGACATCCATCCCGGTTTTTGTGTCGCATGCTTAGGTCATGACTGTGATAATAAACCTATGGTGAATAAAGACTGCTGYCCGCTTAAAGGATCGAGGTCAACTTCGTGGCCACATGGTTGAGAGTAAATACAGATAACTTGGAAATGAACAGCGCATGGCGTTTGACTTTATTTCTGAGATGCATCCCTCCAATAGCTAGTGCCGAGTTTACTTGGGAGAGGCCTGCTACCTGCAAAGCAACTGTTTCTGTCACGTCCTCATTGTCCTATAGAAAACTTGTTACTTAATTGAATACTTTGCTGTTGCATCTTGATCACTCCCAACAGAAATAGAATTTTCTCTACCATTTAGTGATGAAGATAYACAGGCAACCAAAGTGCCACAGAGTGAACCTTGTGTGCTGCAGGTTCCTGCTTGAGATCATATAAAGAGGCTCTGGTTATTGCCATTTATTAGTAGAAAACAAACTCCTTGTGAGTTAAAATACACCTTGAAATTCTGTGAAAAGTAGYGGAAGTGAAATAAAATCATGGCAATACTGATCCTGATATTGTTGAGATAATGCTTTTCCAACTTCACGGTTCAAATCTGAAGGGTACAATTAGTTCCCTCTTTCCTGTGAGGGCTGATAAAAGGCCTCTATAACAAGCAAGGGAAGCAGGTTAGAACTATAATGGTGAGGAGTTTCTGATCATTGCTTAAATAATAGCTTTTTATTTATATCAAATGGTAGAAGGATGGTATCTTGTAGAAAAGATAACCTAARTACTAACTTGGATGACTTGCGAAACAGCTGCTGATTCCCAGATTTTCTTCCCTTGCATTTGTCACTTTTGTTCAGTAGGGCTTTTGTATAACTTGAATGGTTCCCATAACATCTTTATTTTTACATTTTCCTCTCCTTAAAGGGCCATGTAAAGTTTAACAAGTGAAGTTACTAAGCACAGGAATGTGTAGGAGCAGCTACTCAGGTGTGACGTAACATGAGTCTTTAACAAAAATCACTAACATTAATTAACGATTAGAAGAAAGGGAAGTTTAACATTTGTTGAGAGGTACTGTAAATACTGGAGACAGAATGTAGCTTTTCTTTCTGAATTCAAACACCTGTTATGTTTGTATGGGATCCTCACCTAAGCATCTTTTTTATTTATTTAATTTTACACACTGTGTGTGTTGGTGGGTAGAATCTCCTGGGCTGTGGCTTCTAGTCATGGCTTAGAGATTTTGCCAGTTAAAGCTCTACCAAATGTCAGCCAGGCGGAATCACTTGATTTCTGTTAAGAATTGTTTTATTTGCTTGGAGAATATGAATTGGCCACARTAATGAGGACTGGGCTACTGTTTTGGTCTTTCTTTGCTTTCAGGCCTCTTTGTTTTTTCCTGCAGTGCTGCACTGAGGAAAGGAACTGATAGTCTTTCTTGCTTTGAAGACTTAATTAAAATTCAATGACAATTCAATTTTAGGACAGCTTGCTTTGCCTCAGCCCCAAACTTTCTTTCTTTCAAATATGGATTTGATGCTTTGGACACTAACTGACTGTGGTACAGAGAGCAGGCCAGTGGTCTAGAAAACTTATGATAACAGTAGGTGCTGTAAATGGCTGGAGCTTTAAAAAAATATGATTAAAGAATGATAAAGTAAGCTTCATGAGTTCTGGTGAATTTTGGCAGGGGGGATCCCAGTCCTCAAAACAATAATATGTGGGCTTCTTCCTTTGAAAAAAAAAGTCATACTTCCCAGGGTTTGACTGAGCATTGCAAAGCTGCATTTGCTCTAGCTAAGAGCATAGTTTTTTGRAAAAAAGGTTGGATTGAGGGTAGTRGAATTATAGCCCTTGGGACTGCAAAGTATACAATGCTCAGAGTCTCCTCTATCGCATAATTTAAGTTTATTCAGCAAATGAATCTTGTGTATTCCTAACAGGGATCTTGGTTTAGATGGTTAGATTTTTAGACATGTTTCACCAGTGTTTTCTAATGAACTTTGTGTTTTGAATTGAATTGAATTGCTGAATGATCCCTTTCACACAGGGCAAACTCAGAAGATGAATCTCTTCCAATCCATAACAAGTGCCTTGGACAAYGCTTTAGCCAAAGATCCAACTGCAGGTATCTTATACTTATCAATGTATTTTGCTTTGTATAAATGGTGTTTTGGTTTGCMTATTTGTGTAYAATRTGTAATGTATTTCTCACAGCCTTTWAAGTTAGATCTCAAATCTTTAAAATGTGCTACAGTAACAGATTACTTATGRATTATATGGTCTAAGATGCAGTTGTGTTTTCCATATTAGCTCTGTGTATTGCTCTTGAAAGTGAGGACGAGAAGATATATTATTTAACATGGTTATGGTATTACTGATGAGAACTGTACTTCAGAGCAGCTTRAGTCCCACCATAGGAGTTTTAAAAATGTAGACATTACTTTTAAATTTCTTAAACTTTCTGTTCTCTAAGCTCAGTATTTTTTTTTTGAGACCGTATATTCCTCTCTCTGCATGTTCCGCTCTTTTCCCTGCCTCCAAAATTAATTTATAGCTTTACTGATTTCTGTTCATTGTCATGCATAGGCAATATAAGTTTTGTTAGGCTTCTGTGGTTAATTCATAACTTCGAAGATGCTACCTCATTATAGCTGGATTTAAAAGGTTTATCCTAAACTCTTGCACAAAACTATTTACTCCACTTTTAATTCTTATATATMACAGGAGGTCTTYTGCTTCTGTTATYYTAACAAAATCATGATRATGGCCAGATACCTGAAAGAGATTSTKCATGTCATGAACACAKCTGCAAAGGCGGCATCATCTTGTGTAACTTTGGTTTTTCTTTCTAGTGTATTAGTAACCCTTTTTGGCACTACTTGAAGCAGTGCTCAGCCTAAAGTCTGACTAATTGTTTAATCTGTCTAGTAGTATGTCTATATGCATTCCCGCTCAATCTACAGCTGCGTTATATTCACCTCAAGTAGGTTAAACTTAAACAACTGAGGATGAATTGGGCCAAAACCACATTTTAATACCATTTAAAATAATACCATATAAAAGTAAGTAGAATGTTAGTCCAACAGGAACCTAGACTCATATATGATCTTCAGCCTTTAGAGTACCAGTTGCTCTAAAGTTCTAGTCGTGCTCCTCAGCTTCAAAGGATGTGTCTTTGTAAAGCCATTCTCAAGACCATGCTGTAGTTCTGCAGTCCAGACATGACTTCTCAGAATCACTGCACTTACTGAATTAATTAGTGCTTTTCACAATAGAAAACACAATGTCCTTCATATGTTTTTAATGTATGAGAATTGAGCAATTGTTGTTTAAGTGTGGAAATCCTCATACTTGTGTTGATGAGAATTAGAATCTTTCCAGGAAAATACATTTCAGTGGCTGAGCTGAATGAGTAAATCCATTCAAGTTTGTGGATACCAGCATTAAATGGGAATATTTTTTGTAGATGCCAGCTGGCTCAGAAGTAGGGAGCCATATGGTAACAGAAAGGCCTTAYAAAGATTTTAAGTACATAAAATCCCTCCCAAATTATTGTTGTAAATTAATTATGGAAGTGATCTAGGGACATAGTTCGATCATACACCCTATGAGTGCATACATTTTACATTATTATASAAGTTATTTTTCTTTAATGGTCTCATTTATGTGATTAGCACAAGTATGTTCATCCCTTTTAGTGATTCCAAACAGAAGTTTATTTAATTTAATTAAGAATAGTATTTGAAAGGCAAGAAGGTTAGAATATGGACAAAATTGAGGAATTGGAGAATAATCAGAACTGACCCTATGTTCATGCAAGCATCTATTGGTGATACTGCTGCACAACTTACATGCTTAAAAAATTGAAATGGACAAGACTTGTTTCTGTGAAATCAATAACAAAACTGTTTTAAGAAAAATTAGACATAACATTCCATATATTAAAAGAAAAAACCCAAACAGATTAGTTGATATGAAGCTAAGCTTTAAGGGAAAATACTTTTAGTGATAAAGGTTTATTGACTACCTGGGATAGTACWGTTAAATAATGAGAGCTGTCCTAATTTTTAAATTGTCATCTTTTCTGTAGAGGAGTTCCTTTGGAGTCTCTCTTCAGGGATCTGGCAAGTATGTTTGGGGAAGGTTTGAAATTTCATACTGGATTGGTATTTTGAAGAAAACTTCACTTTGATGGTTTTTAAAACATTTTATTTACAGAACTCTGTGGATGAAGAATGCAAATGGTTATCAGTTGAAGCAGAAGGCTTAATTTAAACAACTCTTTAGTGACTGAATGTAGTTGCTTTTATTGAATTTCACTCCTTTAGTTTTAGATATTGTGTTGTTCTAGGATATTTTAGAAAAATCAATAGGCTTTAATGAAAGCCTAACTGAATCAGTTTCATGATTTCTATTTTGAGGCAGCTGTGTTGCTGTTCTGATTCATTATTAACCTTGGTTCTTAGTTTGTTATCGTCAGGCTGTGCTTGGGAAATGCTTAGATCTAGATAAATCTTGAAGTGAGATGAAGTGTTAGGTGTTACTTTCGTTAGTGTCTCAYATAAAAACCTTTGAAACATGATCATTTAAAAAGATGCATTGGAGTAATATTAGCTTTGTTATTTTCAGTTGTATTTGGTGAAGATGTGGCCTTTGGTGGAGTCTTCAGATGCACAGTTGGCTTGCGAGACAAGTATGGTAAGTTAATTTATGAATTTGACATCAGTTTCATATTAACATCTCTACTTTTTTTTTACCCATTTTGCTGTGAGAAGTACTCTTACTGGAATGCTTAAAAAAACCATAAAATCAGTGTTTCATGTATGTCATGCTAATTAGTGCATAGCATTTTACAGGTCTTGGAAGCTGGTTGTGGATGCAGTAACTTGACACAGCTTTTAATTTGGCAATTTCCACTCCCCCACTGGGCTATTAAAGAGAAGAAGAGGTTATAAAATATTATATTTCAGCAGCTTACTTTCTTCAAGGCACAAAGATGACTRGGACTGCTTTCAGCAAGTGATTAAATGCATTTAATGATAATAAAGATATGTTTTCAGCCATCTTGKAGAACAAAGATCCACTCTTTTTTGGAGTGAACGAAAAAAGGGAGAGGACGAAGACTATACTTACAAGAAGTTTCAGAAACACAACCATATTTTGTTGTCTTGCTTTTCTGCTTCAATTGTGAGAATGCTCTCTTGCTCTCTAGTTTACATGGTAATGTTCAAATAGTTTGGACAGAACTTCTATTAGCAATGATCAAAGTGCTGCTTGTTGCGATTGAGTTACTGGTGTGATAGGTTGATTTTGTGTATTAGACTCCATATAAAAACCAGGTCTCTGAGACAGCAATCATTTCCTGGAAACATAGGCAACAGAAGATACTTTTGGGGAAATAAGTAACAGGAACAGATGGTGGCATAAGCAATCTTGTTGGGTTTTAGGTAACATCTCCAGTTTAAAAGACAAAAGGGACAAACTGTATATTGTTAGGGTGGTGCTTTGAGGGTTCGTCTGATGGGGTTTTTTTGAGGTAAGACAGTTGTATAATATTGGAGTGAAGGAAAAAGATTACTTAATCTTTGTAGTAGCATTTTATTGGTATTGTATTCCAAAGTGCCAGTGCTGTTCAAAGACTCTGTGACTGCCCTGACAGAGCACAGGGGGTCTGTTGTGGAAGTGCAAAGTTTGCACTGTGTTAATCAATAYGATAACCAGCAGTCACAGCGCATCAGCAGCCTAGCTAGGATCAGGCTAAGGTATAATAACAAAAATTCTAAAATAAATTTTTGAGGAAGATGTGGCGTGACTAGGAATATTTGGAAAGAACTCCTTTAAAGTGTGAGAAGCAGCATGAGCATTGGGGAAGTATTTACATGGACATTAAACAAGGAGTAATGAAACTAGTATTGCCATTTGCTCAAAAAGGGTCTGACCTCTTCAGGGTGAATAAGAGAATAGATTTTATGAGGAAAAACTAAGAAGTGCTCTTTTCACATGATTGTAAAGTAAAATGGGTATTTATATGAAATGCTGGTGAGATCAAATTAACAAGGTAGGAAGCTGTCTCTTCACATTCRTTCAGACCATTGCAGAGATTGTACTTGCTAAAGGGAAAGTATGTCAGCTAGAAGAGAAGAACAAATTTGAAAAGCTTTTTGCTGTTTTCTTACATTAATAAAAAGTTTGTTTTACTGATTCTGGGGTTTAGGTCTAGGTGAAAAGTGAACTGAAGATGTTCATAGTGATTGAGAGAGAAGGAGGTGAAAAAGACGTGACTGGATGTGGTAGTTTGACCCTGGCTGGAGGCCAGTACTCATCAAAGCTGCTCCTCAACTGGACATGGGAGAGAAAATGTAATGAAAGGCTCATGAGCTGAGAGAGATCACAAACCAATTACTGTCATGGGCAAAACAGACTTGATTTCTAGGAATCAGTTGAATTTATTACCCATCTAAATCAGAGTAGGATAATGAGAAGTAAAGCAAATCTTAAAAACACTTTCCCTCTACACCCTCCCACCTTTCTGGGCTTAACTTCATTCATGATTCTCTACCTCCTCCTCGTCTCCCAGTGGCACAGGGAGACAGAGAATTGGGGTTATGGTCAGTTCATCACTTGTCTCTGCTATTGCTGCTTCTTCAGGGAGAGGAGTCATTTCCCTGCTCCAGCGTGGAGTCCCTCCCATGGGAGACAATTCTCCATAAACTTTTCCAGCACRTGCCCTTCCCATGGGATGCASTTCTTCACCCAGTGCACAGGAAAAATAAAAGTTCTTTATGTTGCTGCTGAAGTGACCATAAGTAAATGGAGACAATATCTGAAATACGAGTATGAACAGAAGGAGTGTGTAAAAATCCTGAATTTAGAACTCATTTACAGAATGGTAATCCAGCTTTATAAGGTAGGTGAGACACAGGTAACTGACCTTCACTGATAGTGAAATTCAGCAGAAAACAGGCAGTGACTGAAGAGGGAATGGCAAAGATGAACTGGAGGATGTACAAGAAATATATTTACAATTCTGAGGAGAGCCAGAAAAGACTGAAAGTGCAAAGTTTGAAAGAATACAATATTTTGAGGGGTGTCGGCCTATCAGTGTAGTCTTAGAGACTAAATAAGTTCTAGATGGAATGCTTGTTTTATGAAAAGGCTAGACTCCTTGTGAAATAAGGAGGAATTCCAGATAGGAGTGGCGAACAACCAACCTCATGGATCATATGAGGAGGATTACGTGCACTTACTGACTCTTCTTTCCCCATACCTCTCCTGAATTTACCACCAACCTAATAATAGGTGATACAAGTAATATTATATAAGGTTGCTTCTGGATATTGATATAAAATAYGAAGCAATGGATGTTTTATTTTTCCTCTCCTGGAAGAAGGAGGCTGATTTTTTTTCATTTGTTTGGTTTCCTTTTCCTTGTAGATAGTTAAAATCACTAGGTGGCAGTCTATGCCTGTAAGTAGTTATTTTKATACAAATTGATAGTTCCTTTTTTAAGCACTTTTATAGAGGTAAAGGTCTAAATATAATCTAATATTATAGTAGGGATAATTTAATATAGTAATATCAGTAGTAGTATTATACAGATGTTATTGCCGTCCAGAATGTTGCTGAAGTCTCTGGAGAGACAGAAAAGAGAAGAAATTTGCTTTTAGAATAAATTTGTCATTAAATATAAAAGCTGCTTCTTTTTTTTTTTTTTCCAGTGCAGTGTTTTGTTCTATAAACACAGCCAGAGGCCTACACTAGTAAGTGAAGGAAAGCTCATTGACTTTGTAAGGAAATAAATCCAACCTTTTGATCGGATGAATTTTTGACATACTGCCAGGAATTTTGTTCAAAAATACTTAATTAATCACACATATGTAAATAATATTAAGTGCGTAAGTTTCTTTTACATGATAGCTATGATTTAAGATAGTWTGTTTGTTCCTTTACATCTTATGTCAAGATCTGGAATACATGATTCCAGTTTTCTGGCATTGAATTAATGCTTAAAAATCTGTTGCTGTATAATCCACTATTCTGAAAATCAGTGGAATTCTTGAAATACTTATGTAGAGTGCTCCTTTCAGATACAGGAAATAAGCATTGTACAGTTTTTTCCTTGGTCCCCTCCCTCTGGTCTGGTACTCTGGAAGGCATATTCATCTTTTATGTATCTCCTTCCCCATCACCCTCTGACAGGGTTTTGAGTGTCACCGTTTTTTTTTTTTTTTCTGCACCGTTTTACAGAAGTTATATATTCTAACCTCTAGAGGATCTTTATTGGAATATGGAATGCCAGCTGTTCCATAGTCCTGCTCTCTGGAGGTGTTCCTGTCTTTAGAGCAGTGTAATGTAAACTGCCTATTGTAGTTTGATAGCCTAGGTAATGTGTGCAAACATTTTTAATTTTTCCTTTTTTTAAAAAGCAGTACATTAAGATTTCAATCTTTGGAGAAAATACAATCCATTTGTCTTTGAGTCTGCAAATGAATGTCCTATTGCTCTGCCTGAAGGGTGAAATCAGTTTGCAACATGTAAAGATCAGTGCCATCCACATGACAGAAATATGGACCAGATCAGAGGTAGGTATTAGATGATAGGTGGTAATGAAATGGGAGGGAAAACAGAGGATAAGGTAAAAATGGAGAAGGTGGACAGAAATAAAGAATGAGAAACAATAGCAGAAATAAGAGTTCACAAGGAATGTAGCTCAGAAGAAGGCTAAGGCAGGAGTTTTTTTTGTAGCTAAAAAAAAGAAAAAGACCTATGGCCAAGAAATGAAAATTGTATAAACAGGGGAAGTGAACTACACATACACACACATATATATATATATATATATATATAATATACTTTTTTTGAATGGTCTTTCTGCTATCTTTCAAACACCTGGAGCTTGAGGGCTTCCTTATCTATAAGTGCCTCTGTGTAGTCACTGGTAGTGATTTGTCTTTCATACAGTCTGGCCTGCCCTTGAAGGGAAGCTCTTATGTGCACTTGCTGCCATGTCAAAAGATTGTCCTTAGTGAGGGTAAAGATCAGGAACTTTCTGGCTATTTCAAAGCTCRGTATTTTGAGAATGTGGAATAGGATCAGTCCTTGCTCAGAACTCGAGAGTCCAMCAGAAGGTGAGCCTGGCAGGTCTGTCTTTTCCCATAGCAGTGCTAGGGTAGAGKCTGACTTTTTTGGGTTTATATGCTCACCTTTACAGATTAGCTTTGCAAACTTTCTGAAGTTCCACTCMATTATTGTATAGCAGCCTGCAGTTCCTTGTCATGAAATGTTCTTCTGTTTGTCATCAAGGGAGTCTTGGCGGCTGTGTAAGTTAAATTCCCAATATTGGCAGGCCTGAATAGATTGTTTTGTAAGGTTTTGAGCTATTGAAAATTATTTTTGATTGAAAGAGTAGTGTAGATGAGTCTTTTACTTTTCAGTAGGGAATTCCTGAATACAGCCACTTTAATTTATTTGCAAACTGTTTGCACATGCAGGTAGAATGTGAATGCTTTGAATGGGAGTTTTTATTTCAAAGATTCTCTCAGTTCCTGGAGGATGTCATTGTGGTGTCTACTACCAGAAGCAAGTGCTTGTGCAGGGTATAAGAGACCTGGCTGAGTGCTGCCCCTTGAGAGTTCTGGACTTACACCGCAAAGAGTTGACTGAAGGACCAAAGCTGATCTTTGTGGAGATACAGCAGA